TTCGCGCCGGGCCTGGGCGCCCTCGACGAGCTGCTCGGCCTCCACGACGGCTCCGTCCTCGAGGTGGGGAACGGGCCCAACGCCGGGGGGATCCTCTGGCCCTATGAGGAGGCTTTTGTGCGGCGGGTCCTCCTTCCCGCCATGCGGGCCTACGCCCGGGCGCATCCTTCTCCAATGCCTCCTCTTTCTTCTTCTTCTCAAAATACGACGAAGACGCCCGCGACTTCGCACGCCGTTGGCGATCATCACCGGCGGCTTTTGGCGTTTCTGCGGTCTCGTCGCGGGAGGCCGCGGAGGGCGGCGATCACGCGGGATCCGCCCCTGGCGGCCGCGGTCGCGGTGATTCCCATCCGCGAGTTCATTTTATCCACCCTGACCGCACTTCCCACGGGCGGGGATGAGGGGTTTGAGCTCGGCAGGCGGGATCTGGCGGGCTGCGTGGAGTATTTTGACTTTTTCGATCGCTTTTTTGATATCACCTGCGGGGATCAGACGACCGTGGGGTTCTTTCACGAGGTCTGACCTCCCCGCACCATGGGCGACGGAGGCCTGCGAAGGCGGATTGTGTCTTTGCTGCCGATTTTCGGGGACTCCGGCAATATCCAAATCGCTAAAATAAACAACCGGGGACGGAATGGGGGTGTGGTGGTCCTTCGTGGGATGCCCATCGTTAAGTTTGATAGATATATTTATATAGAATCAAACTATTCTTTGCACATCTTCTGCACGAATGTATTTAGGCCGTGGTCTCAATACCTCATGCCAGGAAGTACAGAAAACAACAAACCGCCTAACGGTTTGATTTCTATTTATTGAGGCGTACGATGGGTTGATTTCCTTTTTTTTTATGCCTTCTTTCTACACCCTTTTCCGTGAATCGCTTTCTTTTGTCTAAATCCTCTCTTAATCTTTTTTTTTTATTGTGTTGAAGGTTTTTTTTTGAGGTGTAGTTTTTTGTATTTTCTGTAAATTAGCTTCTGTATACATTACTTTTCAACCTCTTTTATTTACATTTTTAGCACCCATATCGAACAGTTCCTAACGACACCGAGGTTTCCTTACCTGTGTGTGTGTGCTTTAGCAGCTTGTATCGATCCTTTCTAGAGGGGTTTCTTACCATTACTTTTACTATCTATCTATATCTCTCTGTATATATTTATATTCATATAGATATAGATATATATTTCTATATAGAGATATCGATATTCTATTCCTTTTACCTCTGTTTCTTCCTTTCTCATACGTTTTGCCGTGCGTGTGAGGGAGAAGATCAGCGGATTCGAAGGAAATCGTCCCCCCCCCTGTGTAGATAGGACGGTGTAGGGAGAAGCCACACCACTTGGGCCATTCCACGGAAAGCGCCGCGAGGGGAGGAGTGTGTGCGGCGCATTATTAGAGCCCAACCAACGGAAAAGAAGAGCCCCCACGCACCCTACAGGCACGTGGCGCGTCT